ACAAAATCAAGGCTGGGAGACCCAAAGGGGTGGTGGCAGTGATTCACAACCCACCACCCAGCAGGAAACCAAAGCAGGAACATGAAAAGAATAACATTGCAGAGCTGTTAAGCATGGATGATTTTAATCAAAAAGAAATTGAGAGAGCTGGGGTTCACATTGGAGGGATCAGAAACATGGACAGATAGAATAATGATGGCAATCTGGGAACACTTTTTGCATCAGCATGTTAAGGACATGACAAGAGAGAGATGACTACCCAGCAAGACTGGATCTTGTATTTACTATAATACATATAGCACAAGTGAAATAGAATACCAGCCCCATACGATACTGAACTTGGTATTTCTTGTGGAATTAAATAATTAGGGCAGAGAGGCAGGTGGAGGGTGAGAGAGACCAGACTTCAGACGACGGAATTTTGTGGGGAAGAATGAATTCATAAATGCAATGCATTGGAAATGGGAGGAGGAAGGAAAGTCATTGAATGAGGTAAAGTACTAGCTGGGAAGTGACAGGCATCAGAGAAGAAATTCATACCCAGATGGGTAGGAAATGTCAAAAACAGAACTTTTGGTTTACCCAAAGATGAAGTAAAGAAAAATACGAATTCACAGACAACCCGCATACAGGCGAGAGAAAAACTTTTCTCTCCTGTGTGCGGGATATTTGTGTATTGTTCCAGTCAGGGTATTGTGCCTTCTTGATCTTCAAAAACACTTAGGACAAAAGAGCTTGAAAAAATCATAGAAAGCAAAGGACAGTAGAAAACAGAGCAGTGAGCATGAAAACCAGAGAGAAATTTGCAAGATCGAGGGGAAAGGCTGATAAGCAATATGATAATGGCGCAGGGATAAAAGCCAAGACTGAGCCAAAACTACCTCACAGATCCATCAGAAGGAACACGATAGTAAGAGACCAGGTAATTCGAGCCAAGACTGAATGAAAAGAGCTCACGAGTAACGACAAAGAATTCTGTGAAGTGTTGAACAAGCGATTTAAAGAGGCGTTCTCAGTGGAAACGGGCAATACCAGAAGGCCAAGAGCAATGGGTACGATGACGAATACTATAAAGCATCCACAGAACAGGGTAATAGTTAAAAATAAAAAAACTTTTCAGTGAGCTGAATGTATCATAGGCAATGTACCATGACAAGGTGTTACCATACATTCTATGAGTGGGAGCAGAAGCCAATGGACAATGGACAGTTACCAGAGATCTGAAGAAAACAGCGAATATAGTCCCAATATTTAAGAAAGGAGACAGATTTGAAACGTTGAACAATAAAGCACGATCACTGACATGCATGCAATGTAAGGTAATGGAGAAGATAATCAGGAAAGTGGTACAGCACTTTGAAGTAAGGAATTTCATATACAGTAATCAGAACGGATTTAGGGATGGCAAATCTTATCTTACAACAAAGCTACAGAAGTGAGACAGGAGACAGATAGAGACTAGGGCAAAAACCTTAGCAAATAAGAATAGAGAAGGTACTCTGGTGGATAACAGAGTACCTTGGCGGAAGGAAACAGTAATTGAATATGACAACGGTAAACAGTACCGACAGGACTCACGAAATCGTAATGACACGATTAGAAACAAACCATACCACGGACGGGGATAGAACCCGCTAGCTGGCCCAGTGGCTAACGCGACGGTCTGGAATTTTAAGACTCTCTGATCGCGGGTTCTATCCCCGTTGGTGGTATGATTTTTTTTTCAGTACCGAGAGATTGATAAGACACATGTGCAACAATTAGGTATCTTTATTCAGAAACGTTTCTGAATAAAGATACTTAACTGTTGCACATGTGTCTTTCTTATCGGAACAGCGATTGTCCAGGAAGGGATATCAGAATAGGAAGAGTGACAAGCGGGGTTTCATAAGAATGGAGGTAACACTGTAGAGGCCTAACCGGCCCGATATAAGCGCCTGATCAAAACACCTCGAGTATTAGTACCTTTTCGGAAGCATATAAGAATTTGTCCAATCTCCTTTAAAGCTAATCAAGGTCATTAGCTCTGTTCTTGACGGGAGAGTTCTAGATACGCATCGACACTGTTAAAAACCCAGTATTACTTATGTCATTTCAAATCTAACCATATATGTAACCAAATCTGTACTTTTGGTTCTTACTTAATTCGATATCCTCAGTATTTTTTAATATCGCCTTTTATGCTCATCATCCACTTATATAACTAAATCATATCTCTACTCATTCTACGTCTCTCAAAAGAAGTGATGATTGATCTTAGTCTGTCTTATATGAGTACCTTATACAGTTAAACAACTTTTGTCATCCTTCTCTGTATGTTCTCAGCGATGTATATCCTATTTAGTAGTCAAGACACCAAAATGAGCAACTAATCTAGTTAGGACTTAAGGTGATGTTATAGCTGTAACTAACTTTTGTAGATGAATTGGTATGTAATACTTGTCTAGTGACTATGACATGTGTTTACACTTGACCCAGTAGGTAAGCACCAACAGCCTTCTTGCCTGTGCTCCAGATTCTTAACGACTACGGTGTTCTTCACACCAACTCCAAGGTTGAGGGACTGATTACCTCATCTTTTGTATATAGTTCTACTCTCTTCCAATTATGTCCTTGAATTTGTGTTGGATGGCGAAGCGTCTACAATAGAGATACCCAGATGTTCCACATGTGTCTAACCTATTCTTGATATAAATCCAAGTAATCTGTAAACCTTATTGCACACACTTAGGCACTGTTGTCTTGGCTTTACATTTCTGCTTACCATGGCTCCCAAGTCTTTCACATTGTGTGTTCAAGCTCTAAATCACCAAGTTTATAACTTCGAGGGTTATTTTCATTCCCAAGGACTGGGACTTTACACTTGTTCACACAGAATTGCATTTGCCCTTTTTCAGATCAAAACAATAATTTGTCCAAATCCTCTTGGAGTTCATTAGTATCCTCCTCAGAATCTATCATCCGACCTATTTTTGTATCAACAAATTTACTCCTGTCACTTGCAATTCTTTCATCAAGGTCAGTAATATAAATTATGAACAATAGGCCTAAAACTGATCGTTGTAGAACGCTACTAGTGATAGGTCCCCATCCAGCCTTGACCCTATTAATGGAAACTCTGCTTTTTATTAGTTTAGCAATGCCTCGATCCATGTTAAAACTCCATGTTAAATCTCCTATACCATGAGCTACCGATTTTCTTAAGTCTTTTGTTAGGTACTCTGTCGAAAGTTTTACTGAAATCCAAATAAACATCATATTGATAAGACAACGTGCAAGTTATCTTTATTCCGAAAAGTTTCGCCTGCACAGTAGACCTCTTCATTTGATTACAGAAGAGTTAGCAGAAGCAGCAGAGATGTGAAGACGATGTAATTAGTTCATCACCCATGAAGACAGTTTTGAGGTGATCAGAAGAATTTTGCTGTAGTCTGGAAAATGGGGAGGGGTAGTGGGGTGGTGCAGCATGGTAAGAGTACGTTACATTTTATTCGGCGTATGTCACCCCCTCCCCCTCTGTCATACCCTCCCGACCAGCAAACCAGGTGATAAGGACATAACAGACGGGGCCCCCCACTTCATGCAAGCAGCTTGGTTCAACCCAGCCAATGATAAGGAAGCCCACCAAAGTTGTGAAGCAATGTTGGACTCGTGAATCAACATTTGGCAGACTTACCTCCAAGTCTGGCCAGAGATGGTTTTCACGGTGTCTCTTGTTTGCAAACTGCCTTTTGTACATATTCCCTATAAATATTATACATATTTGCTTGCTGTTTGGTGAATTATAAATATATATATATATTTATATATTATATATTATATATATATATATATATATATATATAATATAATATATATATATATATATATATATATATATATTTATATATATATATAATGTTTACTCACCGCTGTTCTTTGTTCGTTCCTCATTTGTACCTTACTTATTGTGCTACATCCAGGTGTACAGGCCACTAGACTGCACCTGTATTCATAATAGGTGGTGTGGAGAGGGGATGACTGGGTGACGAACGCTGCCAGTCTTGACTATATATGAGAGGAACTGGCACCACCCCTACCTTACTTTGAGAAAAACTTTCCCTCATTTCTCCAGTTGCTACTCTTTCAACATTCCATAACTCCTAATGATGCACGGAGATGTGTGAAAGTACTTGAGCTGAAGATTTCTATTCCCCTTGGTTTGTCTTGCATATAAGCATATGTACGCACATGCACACAATTTGTTTTTCAGATTTTTCCGCATTAGAACAAACTGACAACCTCTCACATTCTTTTTTGCGTGCATTGAGTTAGAGGGAGCTGGCGGTATAAAAACAAGGATTACTTTCTCGAATCAAGCATCGATTGAAAAACCTTTTTATTAAAAAAATTATGAGAAGTGCTCTAAACTCAGAGATCGCACGAAGAGAAAGGAGTGGGATACAGTGAAGTTCAATGCAAGGAAACGGAAGACTGGTGCATAAGGCACCTTCTATGATAACCTTTTAGAACAACTACTGGATCCCCTTCGGAGAATGGATCTGCAGATTCTAGGTGTGTTCAGAGAATTTAGCTGAACATCCTCTCCCTCTTGAGAGACTGCTGGGGGCTGAAGTTATTGGATAAGGGGGAGGGGGCATGTTTTTAGGGTCGCGCAGTGATTGAAGAATTTTGTTTCATTAACAGGGTAATTTTGCCCATTTCTTTATACCAATGTCAATATGCTTCATTTCGCTGAATTAACACGTGATACAAATTTATTACTACACTAACTGAATTCAGTACTCATGTAAACAGATTACTGCTAATGTAACCTTTTTTGGCAACGTCTTGTTGGGGCCCTGGCTCATGGATGTATGTTTCTTAAATCTTTAGACTATCTCCTAACAAGACGGGTACAGGGTGCTTAATGATTTTATTATACTAAATCTTGTGCTATTCATGTTAGTTTCCATATGTGTATGTTCATATTATGTTAACGAGCTTATATAATGACGTACCTGGAGCATATGTTGGGCAGGCGAGGAACAGGAGAAGGGTCAGGTGGGCAAACATGTGGTGCCTCCTGCTGTTACTGCAGCTGTTACTGCAGTTGGTCATGGTGACTGCCCTCTCTCACCTTCCCCACCACTCTCTCCCTAATCACCAAACTATAATTTTCCTTTTTTTTCTGTCAAAACCAAATAGAGTTATCCACAAAAATCTAAACGACTATTTGATTCTTTGGGTAAAACGCAATGTAACCGAACTTTTCACTAAGTTTTACATTTATATGCATATTTAACACCAGTTTGAACAATTATCATCAATGGTTATTACTAGTTATTGTGTATGACCTTTCCATTTAACTAGAATATACAAACTAATCACAAAGCGATCATAAATATTCGCACGAAATGCCAGCACGGAATAACCAATTGGATCTCCTATGTAGACTCAGTCAGGACAGCGTCGCTGTGAGAGACAGCTTTCACACACAACCAAGCGCTCCAGACACCAGAGTACCAATAATCGTGGAGCTGTTGGGGAACCTGGGTGGGGTGGGGGAGAGACTGGCCAGAACATGCGCACTGTACTCAGTCAGCACTACAGCCAGCTGCTCAATGTGGAGCTCTAGGAAAGCAAGATGTATATGAATAATGAACATATCGTTATTGCAACAAGAATATTGACATAATGTAACTCGCTGCACGTTCTTTCCCTCTCTTCGTCAGACTGTCTTGCTGATTTATACATTTGTGTTTTCATAGCTTTCTCATTATATACCATATAATAATAGAAACACACACATAGAAAAATACTCAATCCTTACAGACACAACTTTGGTAAAGAACAAAAAGGCACAATACCTTGACTGGAACAATACAGAAGTAACCCGCACATAGAGAAGCTTACGACGACATTTCGGCCCGACTTGAACCGTTTACAAGTCACACTAACACATAGAGTGAGGGAGACAGTAAATATAGGCGAGTGACGGGACAAAAAGAGGAAGAAAAAGTAGTGCTAGAAGAAATGCTGGTAATGGAAGTAGTAGTAGAAGTACTAGTGGTAGTAGATAGTAGGGAGAGTAGTTTCAGTGCTACGATAAAAAGGAGAGTGAAAGGTGAACGTAGCCAATAGTAGTGGTAGTAGTAATGAAGTGGTAGTCGTAGTAGTAGATGTGGGGCAAGTCTAAGGATAAGTAAAATGGAGCAATGCAGGCGAGGTAAGGGCCCACGAGGAGTAGGACAAAAACACATGGAGGAAAAACTGAAAGACAGAACACACCTAGGCACAGGAAAGAAAACAAAGAAAGGTAAAAAAAAAAAACAGGATAGGAGAAGAGGTAGGAAGATAAGGAGAATGAATAATCAGGTCAAGTCTACAGAGGCAAAGCCAAGAGTAAGAGCCATACTAGAAAAGTTGTGTATATGGGATGCTTCAACAAGAAGGCGACTGTGAAGGAAGTTGGGTAGACAGTTGTAGCAGAGGACCAGTCAATAAGATGACTGTGATCTCTAACATTACAGAAAAGAGAATTACTGGTATTGGTAAGCCTAACACTTTTTTTGTGTGTGTTCTTTGTGTCAGAAAGAGAGCGGCCATTCTCTCCGAAGTACTGGAGAGGACAAGAGGAACATGAAATAGAGTAGACACCGTGGGCATCCATAGCAGGAAGAGAGGTAAGAACTAGATTACTGCGAAGGGTATTAGTTCGGCAAAAAGTAGTTTGATGTCTTAGGAACGGAGAGTTGTTGAGATTAAAAAGACTGGAAATATAGGGAAGGCAGAGAACTTTGATGAAATTAGATGAATATCAGTCGCTTACCCTATAACTCCAGTTCCCAAAGACTAAATGCACGTGATTGGAATAGTACAGAGTGCGGCATAAATTGATAAGCGTTTAAGATTTGATGATAATCAAATGGGGTATTCCGAAGGTTGTCCAGTGGAAGCGAATATTCATTTTTTCAATACAAATGGCAAATTGAGACATACACAGACCACATAAAATTCAGATGAAATACACAAGCACATTAAGCCTGAAGCCGCTCAGATGCTGCGCTATCAAGTAATTAGCATGGATGGGATGAAGCTAATCAGAAGCGACGCTCAGAAATTATCGCATAAAAAGAGCAGTATTTCATTTTTTACACATAACCCACTCATAAGAGAGAGAGACTTACGACGACGTTTCGGTCCGATTTGGATCATTTACAAGTCACACAACGCGTCTTGTAAATGGCCCAAGTGGGACCGAAACATCGCCATAATCATCTCTCTCCCATGTGCGGGTTATTTGCGTATTGTTTTAATAACGGTATTGTATTATTGTTCTTTTAATTGTTTTAAAGCAAACTGGAGCCTACAATAACTAAAATCAACCCAAACTTTCTTTAAGCATAACTGACCAGCTTTTAAGAAAGTAGCTTTATGTAAACTTAGTGTACATAACATAAAAGTTTTTAATAATGATCATGAGGGAGCACACAGATGTTAACAGGCACATATATGAGACCATTAAGATGATTAAACCAAGGATAGATAACCAAATAAAGTCAAACTGACTAATTTCTAATTAGAAGAGACATCAAAATTTTCCTGAAACCAATTAACAAATTAACTTGGCTCATAATAACTGTTATATCCAAATTAAGAATAATAGAGGAAAACACATCGGCACACAATGTTTAAAATTGAGCAGAAGATGAATTTTCCAGCTTTTAAAGAAAATCCAACAAACGTTTTATTCATTTCATACAATGCATTAACCAGTGATGATTGATGCCGTTCATAATTGTAATATTTAAATCAAATACAAGCGTTAAACTAGAAACTGTAGGGGTCATATAGCGCCTGTAGAATGCTAGGTATTCAAATTCGATTAAAGCAAGTCCGGTTCCTTTGATTTAGAGCCTCTAACCAGCACCAAAGCAACACAAACCAATAACGTTAAATAATACCGTACTATTTCGAGAACAAAAGTGGCAAAAGGGAATCAATACACTCCATTAAATATACGAACCTTCTTCTAATTAGGATTTACCAGTGTCACCCTGAGAAACATGTCTCCACCTGCCACACGGAAACAAAATCTGAGAATAAAGGACAAAAAGGTACAATTCCGTTAGTGGAACAATACACAAATAACTCGCACATGGGAGACAGACGCATCATCAAAGGCTTTTCTCTCTTCTATGTGCGGGTTATTTGTGTATTTTAAGAATGACTTGTGTAGCACTGTCAGTAGGTAACCCAAGCATGAAAACTGGCTCAGGGACCTTACTCAACACACAATACACAAGCGTTGATAATTTGAAACCGATCGAAAAAGGCGTTCTTGGGAAATAAACCAAAAAATTTAGTGAGAAAGTAAACGAAAATGTATCGGTAAGTGTTCCGCAAAACAGAAAATCGCAACAAAACCTCTGATTTTGTTTATTGTTATTGCAGTTTTCTCTTCTCTTTTAAATGTATTTTTTTAAATTCTCTTAAACCTTGAAAAAAATTATGATTTAGTTATTTTAAATTTCAATATGATAAGATTGACAAAATAATGGAAAATTGGCAGCTAAATCCTCAAAATTAATACAAAAATAATTCCAAATAAGATACACCAGTATTTAGGGTTTGAAGACGGTCTGAAGAATCTTTCTCTTGGTACGACATTTGAAAAAAAATTACTTAGAAAAATAAGCAAATATAAATTTACACAGTTCAAAGTGAGTAACAGTCTGTTATAAGAACATAAGAACACAAGAAAGAAGGAACACTGCAACAGGCCTACTGACCCATGCGGAGCAGGTCCATGTCCCACCTCCCCCCGGATTAGCCCAATGACCCACCCAGTCTGGTCACCTCCACTCAAATTATTCACTTTGTTTTAATGAAGTCCAGCAGTGGTAAAAGTTTGAAGCCGATCAGAAAAGTAATTCTCTAGTAAATGATCTGATTCCAGTAATTTCAAGTTTTCAACTATTTCAGTAAAATTTCAAATTTGCACCAACTCGGACAAAAATTGTGAGGTGTCATCCTGCTTAAAGAACTGATCGTCAATATTTTTAATCTAATCACAAGCATTCCTTAGCAACTAAATAAAATGTAGATTTCACACTATTTAATAAAATTGGCAAATTGGGAGCTAATGGCATTCTAGTGCAGTGTGATCCTTTTGTTGTGAACGCCACACCAGTGGTGAAAATTTGAAGCCGGTCAAATGAGCCATTCTCCAGTTATGGCACGGATTCCAGTGTGTCCAATTCTTTTTTTTACTTTTTAACTACAATAAATTTGCCTTCACGCAAAGAAACTTCATAGGTACTCTACTTGAAACTGTTCGGAAGAGGTAATCTGAAAATTATTTACCTTAGTTTAACGGGACTAAATGCTTAACAATATTTTGAATTCAAAATGTTCAAATCTGCAGCTACAGACGTAAATTTCACTCTCTGTCGTCATATTTTTTGCACATTTTCTGAGCGTTTGAAGTTACGCCTCTGAGGGTTTCGGAAGTTATCTTAGCCATTCCAGGTTACAGAGAATGTTTTCCATAACTTTGGTCAAAGAACTCGCGAATATGCCAATTGTACCAAGCATTTAATCCTCGATAAAGTACACAGTTCTCGTAGATGATTCAGAGAACCGACAAGTTGATAAAGTAGTCACACGAACAACACTTGGGAATCTTTATAGAGGAAACGTTTCGCCACACAGTGGCTTCATCAGTCCTACACAAAGAAGAAAAGTGAAAATCAGAAGGAGTTTGAGGTAACCAATCCCTCTGCCTGGAGTCTATGTAATTAGCCCTGTCACATACAGAAACATCTGAAAATATGCAGCTGATTGAAAGAGGCGTTCTCTAGTTATGAGCGAAATCAAATTAAAAAGTTGAAGGAAGAAGAAATCAGGCAACCTTTTAAAGATACCCTTTCATAGATACCTAATAAAAAAAATACATCAGGGGTCATGAGAGAAGCAGAGTGCCGATTTGAAAATGCCAGAGCAATTAAAAAAACTTAAAGCTACTCCACAGCCACATCAGAAAGTAGTAATGACGACCAAACAATAATACCGCAGAAAAACCTACTCAGAAAAAATGACAATAAAATCATAAAAAAATAAATAAACGTCAAAGAAAACCAGAGATAAAGATCTTGGTATAAGAATGTCAGCCACTACATCTCTAGAGGCGAACATAAATCTGCAGCTTGTGCGAGTTAGCTAATCTATTACCTGCCTTCAGAAACCTTAAGTAAGAACATTTCAGGACGCTTTAAACGGCAAATGTCAGGGATATTATGGAGTATGCATGGAATGTACGGCAATAAATTACCAGACAATTTGGATTGAGTTCTTCAGATGAGAAAGACAGTGTCTATACTGTGAGTTAGGTGAGGGTGATGCGCTTTGCTGGATCATTTAATTTGTCGTGTGAGTGCTCTTCTGGAAAGATTGCTGATATATGCACCGATCTAGTTTGATGGTAAACAGTATTTGCAATTAAAATAAAAATATAAAATCCCTACTTATTGCTATGTCACCAGGCTGGAAATGAGCTGCATAAAGAATGGTAAAAGAATATTTGAAGTGAC